AAGAGCCTTCTTACATGATATGATGGCTGTGGCTGTGGTGGCTTAGCGGCATACTTGTGCCTGTGGGCTTGCGGACTGAAGATGCGGAGCAAACGCCGCTAATCAACTGTATCTGGTCGTCCGGTAGCTGATCTGTGCCGGTATCGTTACATAGCTAAATAACCTAACGTCATTGACGTGATCGTTACTCAAAGGGCAAGCTTGTTTGAGCTACAAGCACATCCAGCTATACCAATTCAATCACTCCGACAGCATCCCGGATCTTATGATCCATTCCCTTTTGCATTCCGTGTTTCTCCTTTCATGATATATATATAGCACACCTGTCGCCGTAGTTATTCATCATGGCATTGATGCATTCTGTACAAAAGACTGCGGCATCTTCTGCACGACTAGCTATTAGATCACGGTTCCAGAGAACTAGTCTTCCCTTAATAGCATCTAAATTAGCTTCCACAATGGTGCCAAAGGTAAGTTTACCCCTAGCCTCAAGAGCTTTGCATCGGGTTTGGAGTTGAACTAATGGCTAATTTAACGTGCTCAGCTCAATGACTCGTCTTTGTTTAAGACGGACGTCTGCTACGTGAATGGAGAGTGGGTAAAAGCCGCCTCGGGCAAGACTTTCGAAGTCACGGACCCCGCGACAGGAAAGGTCATTGGAACCTGCCCCGAGTTCGACGGCAAGGACACTGAAAAGGCTATCGCTGCGGCCAGCGAGGCATTCAAGTCCTTCCGCACGAAGACTGGCCGGGAACGGTCCAAGCTGTTGCGGAAATGGTACGACCTAGTAATGGAGAATTCAGACGACTTGGCTAGGCTGATCACTTTGGAGAACGGCAAACCTTTCTCGGACGCAAAAGGCGAGGTCAATTATGCTGCGCAGTTCTTCGAATGGTTCAGCGAGGAGGCCCCACGAATTTACGGCGACACAATACAAGCCAGTATACCTGGTAATAGAGTAGTGACACTGAAGCAGCCTGTTGGTGTTTGTGGGCTAATCACACCATGGAACTTTCCTGCTGCCATGATCACGCGTAAGATTGGGCCCGCCCTCGCTGCAGGCTGCACAACAGTATGTAAAGCTCCAAGTGAGACACCATTTACATCACTCGCATTGGCGGAGCTTGCGCATAGAGCTGGTGTACCTAAGGGTGTCGTGAATGTCGTGACCTCCCTTCACAACACCCCCGAGGTCGGCCAGACGTTGACGACGCACCCTACTATTAAAAAGGTGTCGTTTACAGGCTCTACGGGGGTGGGTAAGCTTTTGATGAAGCAGGCCTCGTCGAGTCTGAAAATCTTGTCCATGGAGCTAGGCGGAAATGCACCATTTATCGTGTTCGACGATGCTGATGTCGACGCCGCGGTTGCCGGCGCCATCGCGTCCAAGTTCCGTTCGTCAGGCCAGACATGTGTCTGCGCAAACCGCATCTACGTCCAGAAAGGCATCTACGACGAGTTCGCCCAGAAATTCGCTAAGGTCGTTAAGGGCTTCAAGGTGGGCGAGGGTTTCGACGAGGGCGTTACCCACGGCCCCCTAATCCACGATCGTGCCGTATCCAAGGCCGACGCACACGTAAGAGATGCCGAGAAGAAAGGCGGAAAAATCATTGTGGGAGGCCAGAAGATGCCGGACTTAGGTTCCAATTTCTTCCAGCCTACCGTGATTACAGGCATGACGAAAGACATGGCCATCGCGTCCGAAGAGACATTCGGCCCCGTTGCTGGTCTCTTCCCCTTCGACACTGAGAAGGAGGTCGTGGAGTTAGCGAATGCTGCCGAAGTTGGGTTGGCTGGCTACTTCTACTCGAGGGACTTGGAGAGGATACACAGAGTAGCAGAAGCATTAGAGGTCGGTATGATAGGCGTCAACACGGGTATTATCTCTGACGTAGCCGCACCTTTTGGAGGTGTCAAGGAGTCTGGCTTTGGCAGAGAAGGATCCAAATATGGCATAGAGGAGTACCAGCATATCAAGGCGATCACATATGGAGGCATGGGCAAGCCATTGCAGAGCTGAATTGGGACCCAGGAATCCAGGTGTTAAGGACACTTAAAAATGAACTGGTATCATATCAAATTTAAATGAAATTTAAAGAAATCTGATCTCCTCGTTCAAAATGACATGATTAAATCTTATGAGCTATACCTACTAAGGTACGAGTTACCTTCATGACGCCGGGGTTGGGTGAAGATCCCTTTAGATGAAATATTCGCTTAGCGCATAATGTCAAATTTCATTTATCCGAATTATAGGGCTTCCAGGTCTCATCCTCAAAATTTCGGACAAGGGGAGCTCAAGCCATACCCAACATCCAAAACCACATCAATTAAGCCCGATGATACGCCAACCATTCCACTCGGCCCTCGGCCACACGAGGGCTAATCTCAGTCGAGTCACAGACGGCATCGTAGTCTTTCTACGCGCATTCTCCACCGCACAGCAACTCGCCGCACCCCCTAACGATAACACCATCAATGGCAATAACTCACAACCGACGGGACGGCGGCAACGTGCCGCCGCCGCATTCTCCGACCTAGTAGAAATGAACAACTCGAACCCATCACAACCCCCGAAGGCGGGGGGCACCGTCTTCAAGAAACTCGACCTGCGGTCCGGAGCCGGTCCGATCACAGTCTCCGGAACCCCCTCCTCTATAGGCGGCCCCAACATCATCCGCGGCGGCTTCCCAGGCAGAGGCGGCTTCGCCCGAGGCGGGGTCATGGCGCGAGGCGGGCAAGGTGGCGGCTTAGGCGGCCTCGGTGGTGGTCGTGGTCGTAGCCCGGGGCGAAGCGGAGGAGGAGGAGGAGGAGGAGGAGGAGGACGCGGGGGCCGCGGAAGACGCCTGCGGGACGAGGAAGAGGAAGACGGCGGTCCCGAGGAAATCACCTGGCCCCCCGAGGTCCTCGCGATGCGCGAGGCGTGGGAGATAGGCTCGGCGCAACCGTTCGACCCCTCCATCTCCCTCAACGACCTCGCGGGCTGGGGCCCCGCCGTGGCCACGGCCAACTCGCGCGTCGCCAAAGACGACACGGTGATCCGGCAGGCGCGCATCCTCGGCGGCGGCCAGCCGTTCCACCCCGTCAACATCCTCCCGGCGGACGAGAACTGGAAGCGGTTCACCAAGGGCAACGGCGTGTTCTTCCCCAACGAGGAGATGAAGAAGTTCTCGGCCGACGCCATGGGGTTGGAGGCTTTCCCGCCCGTGCCCAAGGAGACCAAGGACGCGGTTCTCCAGAGCGCGCTGCTCGGTACGTATCAGGGGCCTGAGTACGCTGAGCGGGAGGACACGCTTGGTGCTGTGCGGAATTATGTCAAGAGGGATGCTTCGTGGAACGCGGATGCGGAGCGACGGGTTGAGGAGAAGGTCAGGAGCTTGTTGCCCCCGGGATACGCAAGGCCTGCGAAGGCTGCTGGTGAATCGACAGCACCCGCTTAGGGGCGAGCAAAGTTATTTCGAGACCATGCATATGGAAGATGTGGGATATAGACATTGAGGGTCAATGTCTCTATGGGACATGAGGTTTCGGCTCTAACACTAACTGTATATCATACCACTTTTGTAAAAAGAGCAACAACCCCTTATGAATAATGTACATGTATCCTGACATTTGGTCTCTGTTTTACGCTATCACGTTAAGATAACAGTGCTATGTAGGCGAACTCTGGGCCAATCAATGAATGTCTCTTCCAGGGTATGTACGATGAGCCCAATACACCACACCGCTCGCTCAATTTCTACTCCGAAGCCTTAAGGGTGCTCTTCTCAAGCGCATCGACCTCAGCAATAGCAGCCTTAATGACCTTATCCAGCTCCTTATCCGCAGTCCTCTTCAAATCAGGCCCCAGCACGCCCTCCTTCCTCCACGCAACGTGCAGCTTGTCCCTCTTCTGGCGCACGGCGCGCACGCGCTCGCGCCACTCGTGGGCGACGGCCTTGACGCGCTTGGCGAGGTCCTCGCGGCTCTCGGGCTCGACCTTGAGGGTCAGCTCGAGCTCGTTGTCCGGGTCCCGCTGGGGCTGCTGGTTGAACTGGGAGCTGCCCTGCACCGCGCTCATGATGGGCTTCACGTAGCCGGCCTCGTGCACGAGGAGGGACACGGCGCGGCCCCCGCGGGGCACCACCTGCGCCAGCTCGCGCAGCGGGTAGGCCTCGCCGCCGCCGCTCTTCTTCTTGTCCACCGTCACGCGCAGCGCGCCGAGGACGTCCGGGTCGAACCGCGACCCCGTGTGCATCTTCTTCAGCGCCGGCCGGAAGTGCTCCGCCAGCTTGCCCAGGCGCGACTCGGCGTCGGCGAAGTTGAGCGGCTCCTCGGGGGATGGTTGGGGGTGCTTCGGCCCGTCTTCGTCCGCCGCCATGCTGCTGCTGCTGCTCTCCTTGGATTTGCCGTGTCCCGCATTGTTACGCTTCGGCGGTTCTTCCTTCTTCTTCGACTTGGATAGAGCTAGAGACGTATGAAGGCTGCGCACGCTGTCTAAGGGGATTGGGGAAGATCGGAGGGGAGTCGATGTTAGGAGCGGTCGTTGCTCACAACGCTGGCATATCGGTCCGGTGCTGAAGAGAGCGCTGGAGGGAAGTGTGACACGAGCTACATCGTGGCCGCTTTTAACAGTGTTAGCGAGGTCCCTTGGAGGGCCAATTGAGCAGACATACACTCTTCCTGTCTGCGGCCGTACAGGTCCGCGTTGTAGCCAGGCACGAGCTACTGTATTACTCATTTTGTAATGTTATATTTCGAAGTGCCGTAGCTCCCTCCGTTCGAGCTGTCGAAAGCTATGCTGTGTTGGTACCTCTCCGCGTTGTAGATAAGATAAGGTAATCTAATGGATCAGATGCCCCGCTCCTCAAAGTCGAAGCGACATAAACCCCCTCCAAGCTCAACGTTTCTCGATAAGGTTGGTTGGTATAGTTCTTACGTGAATAAAAGTTTTTTTTTTAAAAAAAAAAAACCTTGCTTTGGATAAGCGAGACTGGGTACAAAAAGTTGGGAAATATAACTGTTCTCGCCCGGGATCGAACCGGGGATCTTCTGTGTTGCCGCCATTGTAGAGATACTAGATGACCTCTAGACTGTAAGACAGATGCCATAACCACTAGGCCACGAGAACCTTAGAGTCGAGCTTGATGCTACAGTGACAATTTTGCCCACAGAAAGGCTTATTATTCACACACCCAGAGAATCCCAGCTGAGTCTTGGTCATCTTCAATACGCCCCTACACCATTGGGTGAATCGTTGCAAGTCTGTTAAGCTTAATATAATCTGGGGAGCCTCAGGTGTGATTACCGTGACATCTATGGCTAGCAAAGCGCTAGATCCTCGTCGAACTTATCGTTTCCTTTCCGCTTTATTCTGACCAGCACTATTATGCTATAGAAGTATAGTAGATACAATAAATAGAACGGCCTCAATATAAACTGCCTGCCGGCCTCATACTGTTAAGGGAGGTAGAGGTGCTGTAATCCCACACTTAGTATGATATTACCTCCGCCTACTTATCGCATAGGCTTACCCATTAACCTTCACTACCTTTGGCAACCCAAATCAACTTTTCCGATGTCATAGTGATTAGAAGACTCCCGGAAGCTGAATACTTATAGTTTTGGAGCCAACAATTTACACAGCGAATCACGGCTAATTTCTACTGCTTTTATAAAGACACACGAATTCTACTCCATGTCTAGCCACACGATGGAACTTCTATATGTAAGTAAGCAAGCCTCTATGCACCATCAAGATACTTCCCATGCCTCAATACCAACGCCAGCAACCAAGACTCCCTCTCCTCTTCCCGTATCCCGTATTCTCTCACCCCTATTTTCGTATGACTCCCTAATAACCTCTAGATCCCCCGCGTCTGCGACGCCGCTGTACCGATCGTCGAGCAAGTGCACCTTGGGAGAGGCAGATCTCCAATCAACAAGGCGCCATGTCTTGACGCGCTGGTCGTTGCTCGTGGTGGCGACCACGGCGTCTCGGTCTCCGTTTTCGAGGCGCACTATCCCTAGACCTGTTACTGCGGCGGCGTGCGCGGAGCGAACGATGAATTTGCCGCGGACCTCGTAGTGGCCTTGTCTCTGAGTGGGAGTGGGAGGCTGAGGGACATGCGGTGAGTCTTCTGCTGGAGTTCGCTCTGGAGATAATGCTGAGACTGGATTTTGCTTTTGCTTGGGTAAGGGGGCGGGATTCATTATAGAATTGGAATTTCCAGTCACAGCTTGTATAGACGTTGGCTCGAAGGATGGCAGTGGACGGGGTGAGAACAGATGTAAGATCCCAATCGCGTCATCGTCACCGCCCGTGACAACTAGGTATGACGTCCCGGTTTCGGAGGTGATGCTGCGCATATCCAGCGATTTAATACCGCTTTGATGGAGTTTCGTGACGAGTACGTCGGTCGAATCCTCAGTCTCATTTTCGGAAGTCTGTACGTCTGTAAATATCACTAAATGACCATCAGTTGCAGCCGTCAGAACCTGCGGATAGCACTGATCAATGAAATTCAGATGTCTGAGCTGCGTGAGGCATGCGCCGGTATACATGCGTCTCCCTAACAGCTGGAATCCACGTCGCGCGGAGTAAAGATAGCTCTGGATCGTAGAGTTCGACAGCGTCATCGAGATGCAGAATTCCACCTCCGGCCGTGGCTTTTCTGATTCGAGAAGGGTATCTCCTTCAGTAGTGCTGGAATCTTCGTTCAAACATTGCACATCGAAATCCGTGATTCGCAAGTCGCCCACTTCAGAGCGATCGGGAAATACAGCCTCGCATACGACACCAAGAGGACAGATGTCGCTTTCTAAGGCTGTGATACGCCAGACGAAAAACTCCTCATTGCCGCCACTGCTGAAGAGATACTGATCTTTATACCACTGCAGTTTTTGAATGCCTGTATTGTGCTTTTCCAGGGAAAGTACACAGCGAAGCTGCTGCTCCCCACTGTTCCTCCCGCCGAGATCCCAAATGCGAATCGTCGTGTCCTCGGCGCCTGTAGCTACGTATTTCCTCGATGCGGCCGACACAGATTTGATCTCACGGCCATGACCGCCCATCTTTAACGGCAAGTGCGGCGCGCGCGTCTGCGAGAAGATTTTCATCTGTGATGCTTTGGTGCAGGCGAATCTGAAACCATCGGGATTTCCCTCTATCTGCACCTGGTCGAACACGCGATGTCCACCGCCGCAGTCGATTGTCGCGACTTCGTTTTGGTGCGTCACATTCCAGATCACGAAGTATTTGCTGCGAAAACCGTAGAGTAGGAGATCATGCTTCCCGTCTCCTTTGTCGAAAAGCCATGATCCCTCGATCATGGGCCCGAATGGCGGTTTCATCTCGTGCAGAAGACGGACGTGTAAGTTATTTGTTGTATCGAGGATCTCGTAGATCCTATATTTCCCATCGCGAGCAGTCGTAAGAAAATAATGAGGGGAATGCTCGGATTTCTTGGGGAGGGGATGGATAGATGTGATTTTGTCACCAATCTTAACTTCTATTGTCAGAAGAACCGCGTAATTCCTATTAGTTGCTTGACCGAAGACTGACATCTGCCCATTTCTAGAGCCGAGAATGAGGTACTTATGACACCACGCCGCAGCTGTCACAATAAATTTATCAGGTGTGTTCACATCTGCTCGCAGTACTAAATCGTGGTTTCGGTTAAGGCGGAGAAGTTCCGCCTTCGTACTCCCGAAAACGGTGACGAGAACCTCGATATACCTATTAGAATTTCCTTCATGATCGTAGCCTGTATGATGAGATGAAGCCAAAGTATCAGAAAGGCATATGATATCTGTGATCTTCCGTTCCACCTTGTGGATCGAATGGAGCATATTGCCACTGGCCTCGTGATAGCAAAATAACTCCCCGTTAGGTGCTCCAATAAAAGCCGTCGAAGATTTAGTGGAAGTTCTCAGAATGGTATATGATTGAATGGCCGTCCGAATTGCATCAGGGATTATGAGCTCTTTCCACTCCGTTTCGTAGTTGTTGAAGTTGCCCTGGAAAATGCGGCCTGACCTGGTCGTGATGAGTAATATGTCGCCCGTAACGAACGCGAAGCTTTGAAACATCTCTTTCCCGTTTCCGTGCTTAAAAGACGAGATAGAGGGGGCACTTAAACAGCCCTTCTCTTCGCAGGTTTCGATAACAGATGTTGGAGACACGTCGAGTTCTTGAATAGCCTGTGGATAGTGACCAATACTGCCTGCGGCTCTCGGCGCATGAGCTGAGATATTCCCTATGAGTGCTATCTTGCCATCTCCGCCGCCAGTAGCTATTAGAAGGCCCTTCTCATTGGCAGTCATAGCGTGTGACCAGATGTGCTTTCCGCTATGGTTCGAAAATATCTCGTGGTGCGTTAACTTAGAAAGGGGCTGAACCGGACTATTCAGTACTCCTCCTATCTTGGATGTATTTGAAGCGAACTCCTGACCGAAATTCAGTTCAAGATGCCACCTTTGCATTGTACCGTCTTCTCCAAATGAATAAACTTCAATCGGATCCCCTCTCGAAAAGGGACCCAGACAGTTAATCTCGACTTGCCATATTCTTGATATATGACCCATAGCCATTGCGACACACCTAGATGAACTATCGGCTAGTCCTGTCGAGCCAATGATTGAATCACCAAACCCAGTTTGTCTTGCGTCGGATATTTGTGTTTCGTACTTGCTGCCTTCACTCGTAGGCCCATCACTTCCTTCAGTAATGTCCCAAATTCGAATGGTCCTGTCATCACTACAGCTCGCAAGCAACCTAATTGTTTCCCCGGTACTCGTGCATATCTCGGGTGAGATATGAACACCGAAAATCGAGCCTTCATGACCCGAGAACATGAATAAGACCTCGCAGCCGACCGTTTCTCTCCCAACGTGCGCATCCTTTGCCAAACCACCATAGTCGCTACCGTTGATACCTACATCAGAGCTAAGATGACACTTCCAGACCACGATCTCGCCGAATACGGTGCCGGCAGCTACGAGCACGCAGTCCGCCCCGACCCAGAAGAAGTTTCCAGAGTATAAGACGGGGCGCGAGGGTGACTGTACTCGGCCTAACACGAGCGTCTTTTCATCCGTGCTCACATGTCCCTGTATGACTTCGTTATGCGCTGTGAGGAGAACAATACGGTTGTCATCGAAGGGCGAGATACGGCCGTCAAATATCCAATCGGGAGCTATTGCCTCAGGTACTTCGGGCGTAAGGTTTAATAATCCCGATATGTTCCCAAGCGAGCCATTATCACCGCCATTACAGCTAGCGGTAATCAATTCTTCAACGATGCGTCCGGGTAGTACTTTAACAGCCTGACTGCCCCAAACGAGGATCTGAGGGGGACGTCTGGGATTGCTAGTCTTACTGCCATCATCCTCAGCAGTGAGAGGCACAGAAATCCCGTGAATAGGCTGCGCACGAAAGATGGGCAGTGCACCACGAAGCCGGGACGTCGCGACATCGTAGACCTTGATATCTGTGTCTTCCGCCGCGAGTAGGTACTGCCCCTCGGCCAGCGTCAAGAACGCAAGGGCCGTGATGGGATTTAGTACATGTTCACGGCGGAGTCGGCCGGGGAGTGCCGCCTGCAATAAACGAATATTAATCACTGCATTACATATATTACGAGTTGGTTCTTCTTCATCTGCGACAGCGGTTATGCTGGGAATTTGGTGGGACTCATGTGCTGTGGGGCCGTGCGGAGGAATTTTTCTACCTTTTCGGACAAAACAAAAACAACAATTGACTTACCTCGTGAGACATTGCTCGAGCCACTTCATAACGCTACGATGCGCAACTTCATAAGGTGTACTGTAAGTGCATGGCGTGTCGATAGGAAAAGTTGTGAATGGAGCTATTATTCGCAGGCGCAAATGGATCTTGGGTAGGTAGGTATTCTTGAAAACTAAAGCACGTGATGCGCTACTGAAATCTGAACAATAATTAAAGCTTCACATAACGATCTAGTATGGGATTTAAACTAATTTTGAATTTGATCATGTAGTTCATTATGATATGGATCTATCAGAATGTCCTGGGTATTCATTCCGCCATGGCTCAAGATCGATTCTTTACCACCCTTAAGAGACACACCGGTCATTCAAACCCCGTCATAC